CACGCGTGTGTGTTGAGTTCTCAAGGGTGTTACTCCGGGAACACCGTCCTCCGCTGTCGGCACTGTTGGAGCGCCCCGAAGGAAGCTGCGTGTGCGCTGGGGGAGCCGCGGCAGCCTGGAGGCCGCGGGCGCTCTGGGTTCCCTTGCCTCTGGCCTTGGAGTCTGTGTCCTGCAGATTCTGCCCTGTCAGTCACCCCGAGGTAGGAAAGCAGGGGAGGGTGCTGCAGCTCAGCCTGCCGCAACGGGTGGCGTCTACCACGGAACTAGCCACTGCCTCTGGCCCACAGCAGGCCTCAGGGAACTTGGCTCAGCAGCCCCTGTTCTCGTGGGTGGCCAGGAAGGGCTCACACTCATTTCTGCAGGTGGCCCAGTGCTTCCCTCTGGGAACTGCCTGGGGTTTCAGAAGTTATCCTGAAGGGCTTTTTTCCTTCTAGAAAAATCCAAGGGCCAGGACCTGAGATGGGACCATGGTATGTGGCTTTCATCTCTGATGAGTGTGAGAGGATTCCAGATCCAGGGCGTGGCACAGTTGGCTGTCCAGCTTCCTCCCCGGAGGCTGCCTGGCTTCCTGGGGCACAGAATCACCTAGAAGTACAGCAGACTGCCACCGCCCACACTGCCGTGGGGGCTCCCAGTCACTCCAGGGCCCAGAGCAGGTCTCCCTGCTGTGGCTGTGGCGATAACCTCAGACTTGCTGGGGACATCCAAGGGGTGACGCTGGTAGCCACCAGATCACCTCTGAAGGCTGACCCCGGCCTGCAGGGAAGCAAAAACCTGGAGTGAGGGGCCCATTTTGGGGCCCTCCCTTGAGCAGTGAGCCCAGAGGGTCACCTCTCCAAGCTCTGCTTCCTGCCACCACAGTGCCAGAGGAGAGAGTAGGTCCTCCCAGGAGGCTGGGAGCCGGGGGGAGAGCTGTGAGGTGCAGACAGGAAGGCCTGCTCACAAGACTCCAGCGGGCCGTGCATCAAAGGCAGAGCAGTGTGGCGACTGGCTTGGCCCAAGTGACAGTTCAGCTGTGACAGCCCCTTCTCCTGGTGCTGATGGCGGGGCCAGCACCGGCCCTGGGGAAGGTGGCTCTTCTGGCCAGAGTCGACAGAGCAGCTGAGTGTCCTTAGGTGCAAGGACCCTGGGTCCCAGTTTACATGCACCCCAAGTCACATCCAGGGCGCCGAGATCTACATGTGGACAGTAAAGCGGTGACCCAGCACGAAGCAGCAGAGTCCTCATGATGAGGGACATGGAGTCCTCACTGGAACCCGCGCCTCTAATCAGCAAGGTTGGGATTGGTGATTGGACTTGAGCAGAATTCAGATCAGCTGCCAGTGGTTCCCTGAACCGGAAGAACTGGCAAAGCAGGGAGCAGAGGTTGCTGCAGTGTGGGTACCCGGCACAGGCTAGACCAGATGAAGAGCCCGAGTCAGTGGGAAGAAAGCAGATGAACTTTGGGGGGGAGGAGGGGGAGGAGGCTTAAAGGTGCTCCATGAAAGAACATTCAAATGGCCAGCGCACACGAGCAGTAGCCAGGGAACAGCAGGTGGAGGCTCCAGTGTGAGGTCGCCTCCCCCTCCAGCACCGAGGCCCACCAGGCTCGACGACTACGAGGTCCCGAGTGGCTACAACCCCTGCATGCTGCTGGGAGGGACAGAAATGGGCTCAAGCTGGTCAGATTGAACCACCTGGTGTGGACCAAACCTGTGCACCAGCAACAGCAGCTCTGCGCTCTTGGGACAGCTTCCTGGGACAGCACAACTGCTTAGCACTGTGGCTGGTCATGGCAGTGTCCCCACGCAGTTTCCTGAGGAGCTCCGATGCTGCTTTAAGCTTGGCAGGAAGGTGGGGGAGGGTGGATGGGGCTCTACAGGGGTGTCCCGGGGACACCGGGAGAACGTGTGGAGCTCCAGATGCACCCTAACT